AGTGAAAATTTATATGTCTTAAGCTAAATTGTATGTAACACCCAGCCATGATGGGCTGTGTAACAGTGGATAAATAGGGTCCTTGAGACTCTGATCTTGAGATCATGGCACAATTCAGAAAGTCCAGGTAGGATTGCCTGCATAATTAGGGTCTAGACAAGAGCGTAGAGAACAAAACCTGTGAGGAGCAGCTGAGGGAGCTGGGGTTGTTCAGCCTGGAGAAAAGGGAGCTCAGGGGAGACCTTACTGATCTCCATAACTACATAAAAGGAGGTTGTAGCCAAGTAGGGGTCAGCCTCTATTAAGTAACAAGTGATAATACCTTAAGAGGGAATGGCCTCAAGTTGCACCAGGGGAGGTTTACACATTAGAAGTATTGGATATTGGGAATACTGCATATAAGGAAAAATTTCACTGGAAAGGTTTTTAACCATTAGAACAGGCTTCCCTGGGAAGTGAAGGAATTGCCAGACCTGGAGGTGTTTAAAAGTTGTGTAGATGTGGGACTTACAGAAAAGGTGTAGTGGTGGACCTGGTAGTGCTGTGTTTAATGGCTGGACTTGATGATCTTAAGGGCTTTTCCAACTGAATTGGTTCTGTGATCCTGTGATTAAAGACCAGTAAAGCTCATTGATTGTGGCATTCCCAAACAATATAATGAAATCAGTGCAATGGTTACTTTTGAAGAACTAAGGAATGCAAATATTACACATGCAAGTGAACATAGTTTTGCTATCAAATCCTGCCTAATAAATGTGATTTGATTTGCTGAGCAGGATAAGCTTGCTTGTTTGAAGTAACAGGGTTAGGCATTTGTAAAGCTTTACTTCTTCGGAGGAAATTATTTCACCTTATGAGAGGGAAAAGTGGACTTTTCATGGTCTGAAGTCAGACTTGTCTTCCAAATGCTTTTCTAGCCTCACTTTTTGAGTTGCATTTTTCCACCTCTGTGGATGCAGAAACTGAAATCATCTTCTTAATGTGGGCAAGTACCTCAAAGGAGGTTGTTCAGAAGACAGAGCCAGACTCTTCAGTGATGTCCAGTGACAGGACCAGAAGCCATGGGCACAAACTAAAGCACGAGATGTTCCCTTTAAGCATCAAGAAACACTTTTTTAATGTGTGGGTAACTGAGCACTGGCACAGAGCTGCTTGTGGGATCTCCATCCTTGGAGATATTAAAATACCCTCTGAACATGGTCCTGGTCTACTGATTCCAGGCTGACGTTGTAGAAGCCTAGAAGATAAGGGTGGTAATGTGTATGTCTCAAACACCCATAGCCAGATAGCTGTGGAGCCAGCTATTATTACCAACCAAGGATTGTTGGTAATAATAAGAATGAGAAAAAACAGGCTGTGGCTCGAGAGGAGGGTCATAGAGAGGTAGGGTAGCACTTTTCTGGGATAAATGTCCTTGTTCTAACCCCTGGAGATAAGCATTACATGGTACAGAGCAGGAAGGTCTGTAGGGGAGATCTTCTTTTTTGGAAGACTGACAAAGCCTTCTGACCCATTTTCAGAAAGATCTGGAAGAATGGACAATGCATTAAAATTAGTTATCACTAAATTTGCATAGAAAGCAAGAAACTTATCTATAAAATGTTACCCCCACAAAGTTCAGGTGCCCATGTGCCTCAGATTGCGACAGCCCTGATATCAGCTGGATCTGCACTGGAACTAGGACTGGTGGTCTCTTTCTTTCTTTCTTGGTTTCTTTCTCTCTGCCCCTCTTTAATCTCTCTCTTTTACCTTGCACCCTACCTTTATCTGAAACCACTGCCATGTGCTTATACTCTGGTATCAGGGACTAACTTACACTGATTTCCATACAAAGTGTGTCAAATTTACTAATAAAACTTTGTAAATTTTTGCAGACCCACTGACTTTTGTCATTATTTTTGACCATGAGCGTTTATAAATCTTAGGTTTTGCCTTCCTCTTAAGAGAGGGATGCCACAGACCTGCCTGAGCAGGTGCCCTCCAGGGGTCCCTTCCAACCTCCAACCAGTCTGTGATTCTGTGGCATTATACAAAGATGGAAGTCTGAAGACTCAACATCAGGCTGTAATTGTGTTCATGCCTGTTGCTTTGTGGATAATAAAATTTTAAGCAGTTCAAATTTGTGTAAACAAATGTCTTAATGTGCATCATGCAGTTTTGTTTCTTTAAGTTCATTTTAAGTGATAACAAGCTGTATATTGAGTGTTGTACTTTAATACCTCTGAAGTCCCAAATGGTTAGCAGCAGTCATTGTGCTCAGCAGCATGACAGGTGGACAAGTTCTTTGAATATGATAGATAGAACATAGAAAAGGGTCTTTCAGGGGGCAGGCTGAAGACAATGGAACTCAACTGAGAAAGAGGCCAGGCTTCCAAGCAAAAACATAGCTTGCTGGCTTAACAGGGTAAGGATGGAGTTCTGGTCAGAAGTTCTCCATAAACTTTGGAAGCTGTTTATGGAGGCCTGGAGGCCTGAAAAATAGTGTTAAGATGTTCATGTATGTGCTTTTTGAGTTAGAATTTGTTTCCTCTTTTGAAGACATTTTATTAGATCAGTTGGAAATAACAATTTTTTTTCAATATCCTTGCTTTTGGTTGCAAAACCTGAGACTTACAGAAACGGATGCTTTTCATACATTTTCCAGTGTAATCTACTTCAATTATGAAGTTGAAGGAGGCTATTACTGTATTTAAAATGTAGGCATAAGGCAATTCTTCCTCTCTAAATAAGAGCGTGAAAAAAACTTGCAGCATGCCCATGTGTTTTCTTCACTCTCTGCCATTGGAAATACCCATTTTGTCAGTGGAATGCAAAATGATTTCCAGAAAATAAGTGATCAGTGTCACCAACCTCTGACTTGTTTTTTTGAAGCAGTAATCCCAGGTACTGTTCCAAACTGCATCAGTGGCTGATACAGCACAAAATATCTGGTTTTACTTACATGAAAATGAATAAGACATGAAAAATAGTAAGAGCTACAAAGAATGGTTGCTCAAGAAAAGGATGAAAAAATTGAAATTGTTTGATGTAAAGTCCAAAATGGAGACCTAAGTTTTAAACCACGTAGAATTGGCAAAGAAGTTGAAGGAAAAACTTCCTTGAGTTGGCTTTGAACAGGTCAAAACTGTCTTCAGTTTCAACATGGGAAACGTGAGAGAAAAATGTTAGAGCGAAAAATCTTTAGAGATTTTTGGAGAGAAAAATCTTTTTAGTGCTGAAGTTAGTGAAACAGTTGAACAGATTATTTTGGAATTTTGTGGAATGCCAGTTTTTCTGATCCTATCAAAACCTCTTTCTTTCTCAATAGGGTAACAAAGCTCTCATCACACCTTCCAGATGGTTTTTGATTAAACCTACAGTTAGATCTTTCACACATTTGTTTGTGATTGCTAAAAATTCATGTTGATGTTGCCATGTATCTTTAGAAGAACCAAAGCTCTCATGCCTGCTCATTTGCTTTTGACCATTTTTAAGTGAATATGCATAGTCCATGTACTGTGTTCCCTTGTTAATATCATCCCACAGTGATTTGATATAAAAATTTCATATTATTTGATATAAAAATCTGAATCTTACACAACTTTTAAGACCGTAATACAGAGTTTCTGTGTATTATGTGGAACAATTCCAGATCCTTTATTGTTCATCTGGTTTTCCTTATAGGGGAAGGGTTTTGTACAAAATGGTTTGTGACTTTGATGGTCCCTCACAATCTCTTTATTAATGACATTGTAAAGGAGTTGTAGTAAGATAATTGCATCCTAAACATCCTAAACACTGGTTTTAGTTTCATAATTGGCGTTTTTGGATGATAAAGGCTATCCCATAGCATCTGTGTGTATGAATATAAGAGTAATATATGAAATAACCTAATTTAGAGCTGTCCTTTACTAAACAGGAAAAGTGAAGAAGGAAATACATTTTTTTTTTAACTAGTAGTGCGTTACTTTAGGCCATCTGTTATTTCTAGTTGTATTATAATAATATGTTACCACTGTACAGTTGTCCCTATAGAACCTTCTGGAAACTGTCATCTGTGTTTTTCTTCATATATTGCTATTTTTCCTGCACAGAGATACATGCAGATAGAAAAACAAACAAAAAGGGCATCATGTAGTGTGAACTTTAACTTTTAGATACTGTGTCATCTGCCAGTAAATAGAATTGTCTTTGTATCTGGTACCTTCTGTATTTTTGTACTTTAAGGATTATGCTGCACTTGAATTTTCTTTTTTTTTTGTGTAAAATGACTATAAAAGCGAAACCTAATTTTGTGAAATGTTTTTTCTTTAATTTGAAAATAAGAATTTTCTGTAAATGTCTAGCTGTTGAACAGCCTATGATTCATATCACTTTACAGAAAATTTTGAGTCACAACAGTGTTGTCTAATGCATTATAATATGATTTTATAATTTGGGATCCCTTTCATTTAGCTACGGGTGCTTGTATGTTTAACTGTGATTGCCAAGAGATGAATAAGATTATTTTGAGTCCTGAACCTGTTCTCCTTGAAAAGGATATGTGTGTGTGCCAGTACAAAGTAGATTAATAGCATGTTTTCATAATATTAAATTATTTTATGTGAATTTGTGCTTTTTCTGTGATACCATACATATAAAAATCAGAGTGATTAATGCAAAATAAGTTAAACCAAGACCTGCTTTACAAGTTCAGCAGGTTCTTAGTTAAGTCTGTTAAGATAGAGTGCTTTAACTTCTCTATTTTCACTTACAGTCATATTTGGCTTGTTGAGTCAATCATGAGGTTACAGAATAAAAACTACTTTCTGGAGTGAGTATGTTTCAAGAGCTATGTTTTAATTTAATGCTCTCATTCATTAAAAGAAAATTCAAAAATGAAAAAAAAAAGAGAGAAAAAAAAAGAGTTGTCTTAGTTTGGAAATCTAGCTATTACATACTTGAAACTTCTTTTTTAGGTTTGTAGGTGGTGAGCTGAATATCTGTTACAACGCTGTAGATCGTCATGTTGAGAATGGACGAGGAGACCAAATTGCCATTATTTATGACAGTCCTGTAACAAATACCAAAGAGAAAATAACATATAAGGAACTTTTGGAACAGGTATGTTTCATAATGGCTTTGTTAATGAGAAGGGGAAATAAATATTGCACAGTGGGTAGACACCTGAGAGGTAGAAATGATCTACCTCACTAGTTTACTCCTTTTACTGTGCTAACTATTGATTTATAAGCTTTACTACCTCTGCCAAATAATACTGCATCCATTAGGTTTTAAAATTCCTCTATTTCCTCTTTTTCTTCTACAGTTAAATATTTTTTTCCCTAGTTGGTTAATTTTTTAACTTGTTTATATTTGATTTCATTTTCTTTTCCCCTAACAGATCTTAATTAAAAGGTTAAGCATAGCAATAGTTAAGTCTCTTGACAGTTGCTGTGATGATCAAAAATACAGTTCTATAGAAATGAGGTGTGTAGGTTGGCTGTTGTTGCACATAATTGAGTGTAAGCCTAAATGAAATTTAACTGGGGTGACTCCAGAGAAATCTGCATCACCTGCCCCTGTGTAGGTTGTCATAAGAGTGCTGGTGGCCCTTCTGTCTGGAAAGTCTGTGGATTTTGACTTCCCTGCTGGCTGAAGTAGCCTACTCCTGATGAGACTGTGAATATCCAGTTTGCATCAGCCCACTGAGATTTACTCTGTGCCTCACCATGGGTTGTTGCCACTATGGGTGTTTGCAGCCTGCCCCATTGAAGGTTTTCGGCTCTCAGGGCTCTCTGCTGGAGGTTTGTCTTCATGCTGCTACTCTTGTTTAGCTGCCTTTTTTCTTCCAGTTACGTGCAGCAGTTGAGCTTAATGCTGAGTACAAAGAAATGTTGGAGACTTGCATTCTTCCTTAATGTGTTTCAATGTGCAGGATGGATTACTTTGAAACACACTCACTGTACTTAAGATAAGTGTTTAGTGTCTGGAGTAATGTGAACCTGTGGTTTAAAATGTGAAATGAGGCTCAGAATACAGAGAAATTCAGTTTGTGAGGGGTTTATTCCACCTTTGCAAGGAAAGAGAAGTTGTACAGCTACAAAGAAATTATTAACCTGTTATGCATTCTACCTTTTAAGTAAAATATAGAAATCATGTACTCCTTACCAGTTTTCTATTTATTTAACAAGTCCAAAAAACAACATGCCATACAGTATACTGGAGCTGGATCAAATAACTTCTAGGTGTTTTAAGAAGTCAGAAGACTTTGAAAGGATCCAGCTCTGTATCTAATTTTACTTATACTAATATATAATAAGTATAATTACAGTTTTTCAATTGTATTGAATTTTCAATTTCAATTCAATTTGAATTATTCAATAATTATGATATATACATAACATATATGCAAATATATATGAAATCAATCTATACGTATATTGCATATAATAATAATAATAATACTTGTTTTTTTTAATGCAGAAATAAAACATTTTAATGTATATTATTTTATGTGAACTTGATTGGTAGAAATTTCCTCTGAAAAGTAGCCTTCCTGCTTTTTAAGCTTGATATTTTATTAAATCTCCTAAGATTATATTTCTATAAGTGTATTAATTGTCTTAAGACATGGTGAATTTATGCAAAGTGAAAAAATTCTGCTATTTGACATACACATTCTTTCATCTACATTTCTTGTTACAGAGCATTGTAAAACCAAGTGGAAGAACTGGTTTTGGTTTTATGATGTATGTAGTACTCACTCAGAAGTTTATTATAATCTTGCTGGAGGCTGAGTGCTGTGTAAATACTGCTTCTGAATTCTCTACAGTTTGCTCTTAATCAAAAGCAAATAAATGTGAAAGGCAATATTTGATATTAATAGCTTGTCTGTTGAAGCATCCTGGTCCCGTTTTGTAAAATAAGAATAATTTAGTTTATCTGCTAGCTACTGGACTCCTGAAAACAAAAGTATCAAAGAGATCTGCTGAAAATGGGAGGGACGTAGGCTGTTGTATTTTTTTCATGGATCTTGTAGGTCTAGGGGAGTTTATATTGTGTTGAAGGATTCTGTGCCTGTGTGTCCCGGTCACTGTTCAGCCCAGGAAGGTTTGGAATTCCTCTTTTGAGCATTTTGAATGGGATTCTGGTTTTGTATCTTTTAGGACAAATTCTTTTGGCATGGACCTACACTGCTTTTGGTAACTACTAGGAGTTTACTTCAGAACTGACTTAGAAACCTTAGCTGCTAATCCAGCTGTAGTATTTGGTGGCTGGATAAAAGTGAAAGCATGCTCACTGGGTCCATGCATTTGTTAGAAGTGTAATTTATGCTCTGGTCTTCCAAGCTGAAAGCCTACTTGAGTTTCTTATTATATCACTTGGTATCAAGTGATTTTATTACTGAAATGTCACGTATATTAAAGTGAGTGAGCAGTCTTAAACTTGAAGAAAAGTGTAGAAATAGCATGTTAGTTTTTGAGTGATAAAGTACTACACTGTATTAATGTAAATCGTAAATGACAACACATTGTAACAAAGTGGATGATTTAATGGCTTTTAACAGTTTAATGAAATATCAGTACTCACTTTCCAACCCTCTCCCTTTTTTTGAGAAAGAGTGATTTCTTGGATGTTTCAGGACTACCACATCAATCTGAAATGCAATGTAAACCTGCTTTACAGTGTTCCCTTGTCTTCCAAATAGTTGCAGATAGAGACAGTGTTTTATTGTATAATCCAAATGTTCCCTGTCTGTCAGAAGGATGAAGGAAGGGGCACAAGGAAAATCATAGATACCCATGTATTGTATTGGATTGTTGTCTTTAGTGACATTACGATCTTTAGGGGGGGAAGTTAGGTGCAGACAAGTGATTACTGGTTATGCACAGGTGACATGTAGTTCTTGTCTGCTGTATGCTGTACACATGTTCTGCTTTAAATACAATTGAGCTATGATAGATTTCAATAAAAATCATGAAAGTACATTCAGATCTCTTTGCTGTCTCCCTCTGACATCCAGGAAACAGTTATATAGCTTGTTTACAGGCACTGGAAGTCTTCTATTACAAAAATTAAGTATTTTTCCTTTAGCAGGCAAGCATTGCCTTTTTTCACAATTACTAATAATTATGAAATAATGATAATGAATAATAATAATACATGTCCATTTTGTTTAGCTATTTATTGCCCCCTATCCACACTTGTAGTGACTATAAAATACTCATTAAATGTTATTTTCATTGTGTCTGGCCTTTTTGTCAACCCTCTGCTTGAGAGTCACAAGCAGGGAAGCTAATGATTAGCTTTCTTTTTGCTTTGAGAGAAGGTGATGTTACCTCTGTGTTTGCAGATTTTAATATTTTCACGCTAGGAAGTATAGAAAAGTAATTTACCTTTGGAAATAGAGTTGTTATCTTTATTTACAATTACTTTCACTAATTATACATAGAAATGACTGTAAATGCTGGTGGTATGGCAATAAATGCTCGCTTTGTTCATGTCCAGTCTTTGGTTTTTGTTGAATTTTGATAGTGTATATCAGTTTTACATGATCTCAATGGGTACTAATAAGTCTAGCATTAAAGACATTTCTCCTGAAAAGTAATACTTAACATAAGAGTTCTGTCCCTTGCAAATCATATAGATACCTTCGTTGGTGTGAGTTTTCAGCTTGGTGTGGTAATGACTTTGCCTTACAAACATGTTCTTTTTTGTGGTTGAAAATAACAGCATAGATTCATGCAATGCTTCCCGAAAATGGAACTTCTGCAGTATCTTCTGATGCAAGAATGCCTGCTTGGGGCTTCTGAGTTTTAATTTTCTTAAACCCTCAGGTAGAATGTAGAAATGTGCTGTTTGATTGTGGATGAGCTATGCATTTAATGCAAAGACACAGCAGATGCTCCTGGAGCTTCTGGATGTTACTGTCTCAGGTTGCTGAAAGTCTGAACATGTATCTCCACTGAAGAGAAAAATAATGAGGTGGGAAATGGATATATAAAATCAATATGGGAGCAGAGGTACAGGAAATAATGTCATTAGGCAGAGAGGTAAAACAGCAGAAAAGAGCAGTTAAAACCAGTAGTGGGCCTTTGATTTGCACAGGGTGATCCATGGTGCTTCTTCACTTGGGTAAGTACATCACCGTAGCTGATTTAGTATTGGTTATTTGTACACATCCCTACTACATACAAAGCAGTTGATGTCCTTTTAAGTGTATTAATGAGGATTCTAGGACTGAATGGAGTTACTCTTTAAAAAGAGAAAACTCAAATTTTTAAATAATATAAATGAAAGTGTTTCTTTCAGAAGATGCCACATTGCCATGCCGCAACAAGCAGGCTGGGACAACTTCACAGTGCCTGTCACAGGCTCCCATGCTTACTATAATCCAACTTAGAATATGTGGTAAATACTAACAAAATATTCAGTACTACTGTAAAATAATACTAATTTCAGTAGTATTTTGTAGTACAAAATATTGTACTACAGTACAATGAATATTGTGTACTGTCAAAGTAATAAATATTTTCTCATGGTGTTACAGAGGCATTGCTGCTGATCAGTCTATTGCATTTCTTGAGTTCAAGTCCTTTGCTGCTGTACAGAATCTCTCTTAGGTTTCTGCATAGCAAAAATTGAAGTCTGACAGTGAGAGCAAAAATTAATTTTAAATCTAGGTATTTCTCTGAATTTGTGTTTGCGTTTGGTTCAGGGTATAAGGTCTCTTGTCTAAGATTCTGAGAAGTTCATGACACTGCAGTAAAGAAAATACTACTGCATACTGATTTGTGTTTCAAAGTTAACTAGTTAGGACAGAACTTACATTATGAAATTACTTGTTTACATTCATTCTTAAGAGCTAAAATTGAGAAATATAAACTGTTACCTAAATAAAAGAATGACTGGTAGACTCATTTAAAAATAGCTAGACATCACTATAGATTTTTTTTTTTTTTTGCTGTACTGTCTACAATAATTAGTCTCCTTCCATTTTTATATTACAAAAGAAAAATATATTAGTGAGTTTTTTGCAAGAAGGAAATTGTCTTAAATTTATTGAACCTTGATTACATTACGTCAACTTTATCATATGACTTGTCTCTTTGATGTCGTGCATCTGTTGATTGTATGAAACTTGTTTTTTTATGGGGCAACAGCAGATCTGGAGAAACTTTAAATATGGATGTTTTGTCAGTACAGGTCTCCAAGTTAGCTGATGTCATGATCAGACATGGTGTGAAGAAAGGAGATCGTGTGGTCATCTACATGCCCATGATTCCACAGACCGTGTACTGTATGCTGGCTTGTGCGAGAATAGGAGCCATCCACAGTCTGATTTTTGGTGGATTTGCATCTGCAGAGCTTTCAGTTCGCATTGATCATGCAAAGGTAATAACCTGTTTGGAGCAACAAATACTACTGCATTAGTTATTCCTATCAGTAAATGTCAAAAACCTGTTGTCTGGATTTTCTCCCAGACAGGATAACATTTGTCTTTGTGTGGCACACAATTTCAGTTTGTTTATAATACCTATTGTTGCAATATGAACAAAGTACTGTGTCTGTGCTGAGGTTGATACTTGCATAGCAGACACCAAGTGGGCAATTTTGACCCCTTCTACAAAAGCAGGAGCTTAATACACAGTTGTCTGTATAGAGTGTACTTTGTTTTTGTGTTTGTCAATCTTTTCCTACAAAGCCTCTCCTTAATATTGGCTTTTGGTTCAGCATTTTCATCAAGTGTATGAGGAAAATTCTGTCAGCCCTAAGTGATTTTATTGGCTTATCTGATGTTTAAACAGATTAGGTAGTACATTTTTTCAGCTATGTTGTGATTTAGGAATGGTATTCCCCAATTTATTGTTCTTGTTGAAACACTCCAAACCTTATGTTGCTTCCTCGCTCCCCCTTCTCCCTCCTCCTCCTTGAGGTGGGGTGGAGAGGAGAACTGGAGGCCTTAAAGGTAAAGATCAGGTTGAGGTAAGAACAATGTGCTGAAAACAGCAATGAAATAAATTAACAGTAGCAGCAGCAATATTCATAGCAGGGTGTATAAGAGAGGCAAATGATTGGAACCGTGCAGAGCCTGCACTACCCCACCACACCCTCCAGAAAGGACCCATCCCCCTTCCCACCTGGTGTGTGGCTTGAGGTGCTATGGAATGACCTCTGGGTCCTGGCCATGCCCCTCCTGGCTGTCACAGAAATGAACCCTGTCCTGGCTGGAACTAGAGCAAGCTGTAATTCTGCTTTGTTTAGTTTTTACCCAAAGCAGGACAGCTATAGAAACAGTTGCCCTAAATTAGTGACTGTGCAGATTACATAATTAATAGAGGTGAATTGCTTTAAAGGCTTCTATGTTCAGCATAAGTTGAGCTTGTTTATAAAGCATTGTGATGTCTACATTAATGCAATGAAAACAGTACTTGACTATTCTTAGTATCTTATATAGGCATATTAGTAGCTTGTGTACTCATTAGTTTCAAACCCCGCTGACAATGGAATGACCTATTGTTTTCTACTAGTGAGCAAGGTAAAGTCTGTGTCGCTTTGATCAGTCACCTGAAGGATTCAGACTCTCTATGGTAGCTGTCTTATCATTGAATCATGTTGCTTAGACAGGACAGACAAAACAGGATTTTGTGTAGGGTTCAAGTCTCCAGGATTTGTGGAACTTTCACTTAGATTTTTGTGTGCAGAAATGCTTTTCGGATGACTGATGTTTGAGTTTTGTAAATACCTGTAAAGAGAGAGTTGAATGCATTTCTTCTTTCCTTGATGCTTTAAAAAATATGTTAATAAAATGGCCAAAATGGTTTGTTAGAATGATGAAAAAAGACTAACAACAGCTCCCTAGTTTTCCCTGTCTTTCTTCCCACTACTCCAGTTTTTTTAGCAAGCTATAATTAGGTAAAAATAATGTAGAAGAAAAAATTATAATCTTTAAAAATAGATGTTGCTACAGTCCAAATGATCTAGCATGTTTACTTTTAGAGTATTTTGCAATTATTAACTAGTTAATCCCAATGGTTTTTCCCCAGGGAAAAAAAGGGACTGAGCACAATAATCATAATCCTTGCTTCATGCATTGAAATGAAAAGAGAGGAAGTCTTGAGTTTTCTACCCAAGGTCACATAGCAACTCTTTTGAAGTGTTAGCTATATAATTATTAGTTACAAACCATGGACTAAGTCCTAATTTACATTGCCTTTTGGTTCTTTAAAAGGCAGTGTTATGGATGATTTTTGGCCCATCTGATGTATAATGAAAATGTGAGTATGGAGAAGCACATCTTCACTCTAAATTTCAAAACATGTCCCAATTTTCAGCATGGTAAAGCTTTCATGATAAGTGAATTACACACTTCTGAGGCTACCTGTAAATACCTGTGATAGACAGTAAAAATGCTGAATAAATAAAGCAGTTGCACAATAACCAAACCTTTTTATTAGGATTGTATGTGAATTGGTTTAGATGCTGCAGTACAAGGCCTGATGTTGGTAAAATTAATTAGAAAGTGTTAAAGATGTGCAGTGGAAAGCTGGCTGTAAGATGCTGTTATAGAAGAAAGATCAAACTTTATACAGGGTTGGAAAGTCTGAGTGAAAGAAGTAACAAGCATTTTCTAGTGACTATGAAAAGGTACCCTTGGCCAACTTACCTTAATTTATCTTGAATTTTAAGTAGGTCTGGGAATGCTGCAAAGTCCTGAGGCTGGTAATTTCTACTTGTGTCAGGTGTTAGCAGTTACAGGTATTCTGCAGTGAATTGTGATGAAGTGATAGAGCATGAGAACTAGATTTTTTTGTCATCTTTCTTTCAGTTGATTCTGGGAATATATAATTTGTAATATCAAAGCAATAGGTAAACTCATACTGTCATGGAACAGTTGGAAGAGACCTTTAAAGGTCATCTAATCCAACTTCCCTGCAATGAGCAAGGCATCTTCAGTCAGATCAGGTTGCTCAAAGCCCTGTCAAACCTGACTTTGAATGCTCCCAGGGATGGAGCATGTATCATCTCTGTGTAACCTGTGCCAGTATTTCACCACTCTTACTGCAAAGAATTTCTTCCTTATATCTGGTTTAAACATACCCTCTTAGAGTTTAATACCATTACCTCTTAGTTCTATTGCAGTAGTCATTGCTGATGTCTAGCTTTTAATCCATCAGTATCCCCAAGTCCTTCTTGGCCAGGCTGCTCTCAATCCCTTCACGTTACCCAGAGTGCACTGATTTTGGGGGGGCCTAACCTGGCACAGGTGCACGACCTTGCACTTGGCCCTGTTGAAGCTCACTAAGTTGTCATGGGCCTACTCCTTGAGCTTGTCCATGTCCCTCTGAATGGCATCCCTTCCTTCAGCAGTGTTAGCTGTGTCACTTGAGGAGTATTAGAGAGTATAGAAGAATTTGTAGGAGTCTGCAAAATAGAATAAGTGTTGGTCTTGCACCTACAACTTGTACTATTGGGTCTTGCTTTACCTCATTTCTACTTTATAATGTTGTTGTTTTTTCCTATAGCTCACTAGCTCTGTCATTTCTTCTCCATTTCTTCTACCTGGTTTTTCTTCAAACTTGTTACACTCCTGTCTAATCTTAACATATAGAACTACATGGAGTCAGACAAGAGGTGGGCAATGGATGTATGAAAGCAATCTGGAAGCAGGCGTGCAGGGGAGATAACGTCATTAGGCAGAGAGATAAAAGAGCAGTTAAAACCGGTAGTGGGCCTTTGATTTGCCTAGAGTGATCCATGATGATTCTTTACTTCGGTAGTACATCACCTTAGCTAATTTAGCATTGATTATTTTTAGATGTCCTTACTACCTGCAAAGCAGTTGATGAGCACAGGTGGCATCATTTACAAATTGCTATAAAGCTAGTGATAACAAGAGTCTTTCATCTTAACACTTGAATAGAACTGTGTACATTGTATTTGTTATAGTCTAACTTCAAGGTGGCCTACCAATGAATTTTCAGTTTAACTGCATTTTATTGTATCATCTTCTATTAAATCAGTGCATTCCAAAAAGGAAAATCAATGAATGCTGAAATTTTAAAGCTCATGCAAAATCTTTATTTTGAATACACACCAATTAGGGATCTTTCCTGAATGACAGATTTGGACAGGAAACATTTTATTATTGCATAAGAAAACAATTTAATCTGTGCTTCCTCTGCTGAATTTAATTTAACTGTGACATTGTGTTTTATGCCTACTTAATGAGATTTATGCTAATGCACACAATTAGTAAACTAGCTTGATCAAACTGAGCACCAGATGATAAATAAACTTCTAAAACTTCAAAACAACAGAGATTGAGGACTTGTTCTTTTCTAAGTAAAATATTTCTAAAACTTCAAAACAACAGAGATTGAGGACTTGTTCTTTTCTAAGTAAAATATTTTCTAACACATAGTTTCTTTAGTGCTACTTTTTCTCCCCTGAAAAACAACAAATAAAAATTCTGATCTTCAGACCTAAGTATGCAGATTTCTTCATTAAGGAAGTCTTACATAAAAGCTGTGGTTAATTTATTGACAGAACTATCCAAATCTGATTTTCAGTAATTTTATACCCTCAATCCTTCAACCATCTCTTGAGAAACTCTAGCCTTACTTCCCTCATGTGCCTTATGACTTTACTTTATTCTCTTCCTGTATTTCTAGTTTCCTGCCATCTCTTCTTTGCCTTATTTTCCCTCTTTCTTCTGTTTTCTCTCCTGTTACATTTATTGCAGGCTGTGAAAAAGCCAAAGTTCTTCAGCTAGTATTGAAATATGAAATTGGAAGCATTAGGTAGAAGGCAAAACAGTACAGCTAACTGTTGACATCACTGCACCATTCTTCCTTAGTGGAGGAGCTAAGATGGACAGGGGTTTCTCTCTGTGTTCATTAATATTTGTACAATTAATAAGAAGTTAATACTGTTGATTTCTTACTTAAATGTGTTTGAAAATAGGGAAGTGTCAGAAGGCATTAATGTTCTTCCAACCAAAAAGCAGATGCATGAACAGCAAGATTACACAAACTTGATTTACTCTAGAAAACTGATCTAAACCCTGTGTCTGATTATTTAATACATTGAGTTTAATAGAAAATGTAGTAACATATCTAAAATACATTGCAAAATGTACACATTAACTATCTTCTTTTTTTAGCCCAAACTTATTGTAACAGCGAGTTTTGGAGTAGAACCGAAAAGGAAAGTGGAATACGTATCTCTCCTAGAAGCAGCACTGGCAAGGGTACAGAGCAAACCTGATAAAGTTCTTGTTTACCAACGACCTAATTTGGTGGGTGTACAGTTGTAGTGCCTTTATGTTACCTTTCACATGTTTCTGCATGTGCCTCTACTTTTTTGCAAGAAATATTTTACTGTGTCTGTTGTATTTTGTTTTTTGATTTTAAGGGCAAGCATTGTATTTGTAAGATTTAAATACGAAATAGAACTAATGCAATAGAGAGATTACAGAAAATTGAATAGTACTGTATAAAAAAATTGAATTGTACATGTTTTTTGAATTAATTCCATTTATTCCATGTGATCTTCTTTAGACAATTTTCTTATTTTTCAATGGGCAGGGCCATGTTCCTCTTACCAAAGGTCGGGATCTTGACTGGGAAGAAGAGCTTGCAAAAGCACAGTATTCAAAATGTGTCTCCGTTCCCTCAGACCATCCACTTTATATTCTGTATACATCTGGAACAACAGGTTTGCCCAAGGTAAAGGACTATCAGCAGTCTAAGTGTCTGTGACCAACTATTTGCAGTTCCCCTTGAAAAAATATTTAATTGAAAATATTGAAAATGTTTGCCAGAGCAGAGTGCTATAAATGATAAGCATTGCTGCAAATAGTTTAATCTCGTTTAATCATATTTCACTATTTTAAAGGCAAGGTCTAGGAATAAACCCTGTTTTTTAATTTAAATAGTAGTAGTATAGAGATAAGATGCATTTGCTTCAAATGTTTCTGCAAAATAAACTTTTGAGGATAGCACAATGTCTTTTATTCAGTACTATTTTCTGTGTTTTAACTTCCTTAGATAAGCCTAGTATAGTCACTTAATGACAAGACCAGTTAATATATCACTTGTGTGATAGCATTTATTGCTGACTAATCTTGTTCATTATTTACATTTTAGCTAATTTTCTTGTAGATAAGACATGGTGAATGACATGACAGATTAAATGAAATAAAGCTTGTTCTGAACACTTGTGTTACTGCACAGTTCTGAGTACATAATACCCTGAATAGAAGGGTAGAAAATAGAAGTTTATATTAAGTGAAAATTAACAAAGGGTATTCTTTGAAAATGTTTGCTTTTGAATGTAAATTAGTTTTAATGATGTACTTTTAAAGGATTGTATTTTTAAAGTGGACTCTGCTGGGTACTTAAAATGCTCTTTTACAACTTGGAGGAAAAGCTGCATATAATTTTCTGGTGATAGTCTTACCACCACTGATTCAAACAGAGTCACACACCCTGGAAAGAACAATTCTACTGCTAAAAAATTATTTAATGGTGTTGCTTATAAAGTTCAGAATCTCTTAGGATGTAAAGGAAAACAAACATCAGTTTTGCTGAGAAAAATGTCTTCTGCTTTTACCTTCAATATGGGCCCTTGAACACAACATATACATCCTAAATAACACAGTTTTATTGTCAAAAAACCCAAGATAAGACCCTTTGTTTATCTCAGCGGTAATAGTTCTCAGAAGTTCATTCACTGTGTTGTCTCTGCAGAGAAAAAATAAAGATACCTTGAGTCAATCCCCCTTAAAAGAGATTTTCAACCAGCAGTAATCTACAATAAGTAACTCTCAGTGAATAAAATAACTTTTTTATTTATTTAAGTAATTTAATTTAAATGCTCATGCAGGTAAAACTACTTGGTTATGACCTTCCTGAAAAACTGTGTTGATCTTAGAGCAGAGGCTAAGTTAGAAGCAGAGTGGAACAAAGGCAGTCTGCTGTCTGAAATTGGTGAAATGTTTGTAAACCATTGCCTGCCTTAGCAATCTCCATTTTAATGAGATAATTTATCTCTGCTGTCCCTTATTTCTTGGATGAGGCCTGAAAGTGCCTATTTCATTCTATTAAGTACATCAAGAGAATGTACCATGCCTAGCACAGACAGACAGCTGTGTTGTAATGTCTGCACAGTGCATATTTGTTAGGTCCAGTGGATTTCATCCGAATTTTAGTTCAGGATACCAGGACGTAGTTTACTTAATTCTTTCTTCTAAGAATAATGTGCTGGAAGGTGAGGAAATATATATTGACCATACTAATACCGAAAAATATATCCAAAAGTTTCCCGTTAATGACGTTCCTAGAGCTGGTTTTTGGTTTACCCAGGTGCATGATGCTGTTGATAATCTCTCATTCTAATTTCCAAACCACTCTTTTAGCTGAAGACTGGGGTAGTATTAATTTAGCATTGAACTGTATACTTCAGGCAAGATAGTAAACTTCCAAGCATATATATTGGTTTAAGCTAATTTTCTGATATCTTTAAAAAGAGTCAGGTCAGGAAGGGATATTTCAGGTGGTAATTCACCCCAGTTTTTTCAGGGATCATGTAGTTTGCAGGCACAAAGATTGCTCAGATAGAGTAGGCAATGATTTTAAAATATGCCTAGTATTAGATGGCACAGTTTAAGTGAGGTAAATACTTAATCTCTTATTTTTTGTCAGCATATATTTGAGTATTTTTATATCCAACTTTTAGGAGAGAATTTTAGCTTTGTTAGTTATCTTCTGAATGTTTTATTGTATGTTTGTTTTTTATTTTCTAAAATTACTTCTTTAATGCATGTGTTAGTCTTCTCTTGTTGGAATAGATCCTTTTCTTAAGTGAGAAGCATTGGAGTTGGACAACTTTAATTCCATTGCTGTTAAAACCGTAACATTTAATTGAAGACAGCAATATGATTGTATCCTTCAAATCTTAATCTTAAATACTTAAATGCTCAAATTTTTTCATTTAGGGTGTTGTGAGACCAACTGGTGGCTATGCAGTTATGCTAAACTGGACCATGTCAGCTGTATATGGCCTCAAACCTGGTGAGGTAATTCTATTTAAATGTCATGTAAACATTTTTGAATGCCTCTTATAATTCCTAACTGTAATTTTGTTCATATTCATTTTAGGTATGGTGGGCAGCTTCTGATTTAGGCTGGGTTGTTGGTCATTCCTACATTTGCTATGGACCTCTTCTTCATGGTAATACTACAGTTTTGTATGAGGTATGATCCAGTCTAAAACACCCCCCTTGGAAATGGCAGCATCTCCTCCAACTGATCATTCAGATGATCCTATTTATGCCTGTCTATTCTTCATGCCATAGATATTTAAATTGTGTGTGTACCTTCAGTGTTTATACCCTCCCACCTATTACAGTAATTTTTAAGGAAAACTTAATTAAGTGTCCTTCAAGCTTGTCTAGATTTGTGTGAAAGGTGATGGTTAGTGGTGTAAAGAATGAAAACAGAGCTGGAAATGGAAGATGGTGGAGTGTACCTGTGTTATTGATTAGACTACCTTTATTTTGGAATTAAGAGGGGGTGTTGCGTTTTGCATGTCTTGTGATGAAAATACTTACTGAATTTTAGCTGGATGTAATTGAGAGCTGTATGGTTGAAACCAGAACTTCTAAGGAGACATCTCTCTTCTTTCCTCTTTATCACTCAAAAAAACTGAGCCCAAGACTGAGATGACATTTGGGGCTTAGTCCTTTACTTCAGGGGATGAAACCTGGTGATGTGGAGAGGAGACTAGTCCAGTTAGAGTGGCCTGTGGCATCCTTTGCTGCTCAAAAAAAGCAATCATGCTGCCTTATATTGTTATTTTTTCAGAATTTATTGTTGATTTTTCTGAGTAAGAAAGAGCACCGAGTAGCAGAAATGCACATTTGTAGACTCAAATATTGTATTAGATTGAGTACCAAATTACTATAGTCTAATTAATGTTTAAGTGCCTAATAGATGTTAATTAGATTCTTCATTCTAAGGGGATTAACTCAGCACCACCACAACAGTTAAGCAGAAGAGGAAAGCAGTGTAAGAAAATTGGCAAGTGCTTGCAGATATTAAAAAGACTTTGATAGTTTTATAGTGACTGTTTTTGAACACTGATGATGTACTAGACCACATTAAAATTGTGGCATGAATTGTCAGAAGAGAATCACTGCAATGAAGAGGTTTTCATTTTAGCAGGTGTAGCATAAGCCAAAAAGGAATGAATAGGAGCTGAAGTAAGGAGTCCTTCAGCATTTTCTATTGCATAGTTGTCTTACAGTGAAGTTTTACCTCTGCGTGAATGCATGGGGATCAACGTGCTTATTGTCTTTGTAAAGGTACCTCTGAGTTTAAACTGTTGTAAAACAAAAGGAATAAAAATCCTACTTTTTTAACAGTGAACATAAAGAAAAATTAGAGTTAATAGGAGGTTAAGCTACACATCTGCTTTGTGATTTTTTGCTCTTGGTGAGATCATTATTAAACAGAAATGGTACATTTCCCATTTTCCTTCTCCAAGATGCCACTAATCAAGGCTTCAGATGGTGTTCATGACATAAGCATCATCTTTTTGAGGGTTAATAATGGGAGGAAAAGGAAGCTGTCTGTACACACAGGAATAAAAGTAATATTTACAAAGAGAATAGTGCATGATTTTTCCTCTGCTCAGAAGTCTGTGCTAATAGTAAATATCCGGTAATTTTTAGTCCAATTTCCTAAGTGGTTGGCTAATTATTTATTTTGGGTTAGGGAGTATCAGTGTGCTGTTTAGCCATGGGGGAAGAACATCACATTCCTTTTGCTTGTGGGCAATCACTACTGAATGTAAACTGTGCTGACTTCATACCCTCACTACTTCAAGTGTTTTGTTTATTTTTAAATTACTTAGGTGACAATTTGTCATTTTAACAATTACTATGCAAACTGTGCTTTTAGTTTTTACTTGCTGTTATGCCATTGTCAGGAATGCAAAAATTATGATGAATTCTTTCGAATGCAAAATCAAGTGTATTTTTTGTTTTGTTTGGTTTGTTTTAAATAATCTGTCCTGGGTTGTTTTTCTCCACAACATGACAAAACTTCAGCAACAAATAAGGTAGCGCCCACTCTGGGTTGCTCTTGCTTATAGGGTTTCAAGCTCTAAGCAACAGGGCAGTATAAAGAGAAAGTCTAGTTAGTACTTGTGGTCCTGTGGTGTCAGGAAAAAAGCAGAGTTGTAGTTCCAGTGTTCGGGATTTTTAACTGGGGCAAGGGTAAGGAAGAGGATACCCACGCTTGTCAAGAACCAGGCACTGAGGACTTCATTTGAGTGGTCTAGGTCAGAGAAGGAACCCCACACAGAGCTGTAGTAAGACTGTGTGCCTGGAGTGTCTCACAAGGATCCCTGGAGTCCTGTAGTTGCAGCAGATTTGCAGGATACATAAGAGCAACAGCTTTGAAATTGCTGTTCTTTGGCACAGTTCTTGGAGACAGCCAAGAACTTTCTTGCTGTTTTTGTAAGCCAGTATCATCAGCTTACAAAGCAAGCACTGAAATCTGGCAGGCATCACTCTGCTGTCACCCATACTGATTGTTGAGCAAATTCAGTAGGACATGTCATCTCAAGTCTTTATGATATGTCACAATTTTGTGTGTGCTTTGACATCGGCAAAGTTTTAGTGACAATGAGTTCCATGCACAACATTTTCTATACGGACAGAATTTCCTCATAATTTTGGATTTAGTGGTAATTGAAGAACCCGTTGTTGTTAGGGGTCAGACAGAAAGTGAATTGATGCCCTCTTACTCCTGCATTGTTGGACATTTTATTATAGCTCTTCTTCCGTGACTCATTCCTCAAATAATCTATCCTGGTGGCTTCTCACATTCTCTGTACAAGAACTTTCCTATCCCCTTGATGGTGTCTGTGAATCTTTTTTGATAATCATGTATGAAATCATACACCATCAGCACATTTTGCCTCAGGATGTTCGCTCAGCTGTTTGATATCTCATAAATTGCATGCTAAATCTGAGTGCTTCCAGAGAAATGTTCCTATCTGTTTGTCTGTCTCAGAGTCTCTCGGTAGGTCTTTTCTGTGGGACTCTTTCTAGCTGATACAAGAAGTGTCTGTTCTTACTTTTCTCTTTTAAATTAGGTGAGACAGATCACTCTCTTTCTAACTGTCCTGTTCCCATTTACTATGCTGTCATTTCCTATCAACCATAGATATTATTGCCAGTAACTTTTAAAAATCAATTTTCATCTCCAGTATCGATGCGAATACTGAATAGCAGCAGGTCTTGAACTGATCTCTGCAGAAATCCAGTGGAATTATATCATGGAAGTAGCTCAGTCCCCAGTTGACTCAGCAGTCTGTCAACATATTCTGAATTCAATTACCCTGTGGTTTACTGCTTATATTGCTAACTTTTAAAAATAAAAATTACAGATGGTAATAACCCTTCATGGGATATGGTAGTACTGATTAAATTTTTTGCATAATAAATGACTACTCTCTCTGGCAATTTTATTTGTAGGTTTTGGGTTCTGAAATTAATTTGCACTGTTTCAGATACGGTTTGCTTATGTGTTACAATCTGATTATTAGGGTGATTAATTAAGGTGCAAACAAGACCATATGCCAAAGTCAATAGTATGGATTTTATTTATCAGTAAATGTGAAGTAGAGAGAGAGATAGAGAGAAATATAAGAAAGAGGAGGGGGAAAGAGAGAGAGACATACTTAAGGAAAAGTTGGTCAGCCCTCCTGTGGATCCAGGAGGATCCTGTTGGTCCTCTTCTGTTCTTTTCTGTGGTGGGGGTTCCATGAAACATAGAATTCAATGGGTATTAATATACAATCAAGCATACATGCCCAAGCACCTCTGCTATGAGGGAGTTTTACACTCTCTTATGCATCAGCATCTGAATCGTTGCAAAACTTCGAATCACTTGCAGTTCTCTGGTCAAAGGCCTGAGGAATGAGTCTGGGGACCTTTGGGGGTCTTTAATGGTTTATGATTCCTTCTAAGACATGAGAGCCGATCTCACATGATTGTCCCATGGTGGTGGATGTTCACTCCCTCTGTCTTATGTGGACCAGTTTTGCCATCACACTCCCAAAAAATCACTTCCTCCCTCTTGGATGCATTCTTCTTTCCTAGCTGTGTTTACTTCTGCTTAGATTGGAGGTGATTGGGCAGTAGTGCCATCTTTATCTCAAGTTCCCTGTCAGGTGACTTAACTCACAGTCCAAATTCCCATCAGGAGGCATATTCAGAGGGATGGACTTTGGTGGCCTCAGATGAGTTCTCTGCACACTTTGCTACGGTGGGCAAAGTCCTTCAGTGATATTAAAAATGTTTGAGCCATTATCCATTTCAGTCTCACACATTATGTCCATTTTTGTTTCTACATTTGCTGAACTCTGAACAGCTTCCAAGACACTTGGGAAGTTTTTCTGCAGAATCAGTAAGAATATTTTTCACCTGTGCCAGATTTTTTCTTTTTTCCTAAATGAATATCTTATTCTCTGGGTCATATATCCTATCAATGCTTAGGAGATTTTCTCCTCTTTCTACTGTTTGTGTTTTATTTGGTTTTCTCCTATATCTGAGCCTGGTAACTGCAAACCTAAACTGCTTTAGCTTACCTGTGACATAAACATCCACCTGTCAGAGTCCTGTATTTTCACCCAAGCACTCCTGAGGGTTTAACAGTTTTTGTGGAAGATACTGTCAGGCTCAGGCTTGTTGGAAGTTGAGGCACAAGGGTGTCTGTGACATAGGTCAGGCAGAGATCAGGTGTGAAGTGGGATCTGGGAGGGAGTGGGTGTGCTCAGGGCCAGACCTAGCCCTTTTATGGGCTCTGAATATTTACATTTGGTTAAAAGTAACAGCCCACTTTATTACTGGCAGACTAACCAACTTCAGCTTGCTCCACAGCTAGGTGTTTCTGTGTCCAAGATGATTGATACTAGTTCAAGTACATAATTACGTAATGAGAAGCTTGTGGCAGTTTGGCATTTTTCAGAGACTGAGGCCATTTGTTTTAGTATTAATGATGTGGGCTTGAACACTTAACTAGGTGCATACAGATCTGCACATTACAGGGAGAGAACATCAACATGAACACAGGTTCATGAACAAATTCTGATGAACACATGAAAGTTGTGATGAAGTCTGCTAAGGTGATGCTTCAAGACAGTCTGGTGAAAGATTTTTCTTTGGGTACTGTTACCCAACAGGAAAAAGGATGTAACTCACTTTTTCAACAAGCATGATTTTGCATTTTTTTTTGGTTATTAAGGATAGGCTAATTGCAGAAAGAGGGGTTTTGGTGTTGATTATACTACACTCTGCTACTTGGGCTGGGAACTGTTATTTTTAATTTATTTTCTCTTTTTTTTTTTGTTTGTCACAGCTTGCTTAATACTTTTTTAAAAATAGCTTTTCAATTGTGCGCTCTATTTTGTCTAATTTTAAAATCTTTTATGGTGCACCTCTTTTTGAGAACACTTCTCACTTGAAGCAGCATCTCACCATAAGGCTGCAAAATCCCTGGTACATATCCAGCCTTGGCTGTCTTGTGTTCTTTGAATCTGCTTAATGGTTCACCAGTGCTGTTGCCAGTGTTCAGGCCCAGCTGGATGCAACAGGAAAAGTGTGTGTCTTTTGACGTGTGTGCTCTGTCAAAGTTCATCTTTTAAGTGTGGCCTTTCTAGTGAAAAGGTTATAGTGATACCTGTAGAGCTAAAACTCATTCTACATTAACATCACCTTTTAATTTCAGAATATGTATGGAGCAGTTCATGCACCGTGGTAATTACACATACAGTAAGACCGTAACTATATGATTCTGTGCTGACTGCTTTTCATGTTTTCACCACAGAAAAGTATTCTTGATTATTTTTTATTAGGATTACTTACCATTGAACAATTTGTCATAAATGATTATTTCTGTTTACAGTTCTCTTGACTATGCTCTTTAACTCAAGAAAAACCCAACCCCAAAGCAGGCCACAGTCTGGTAACACACTAGAATAGAATAGGGGACCCTTTAGGATCTCTCCAGGCTTCATGTGGGGTAGCATGAAGGTTCCAAAAAAACAATTGTAAGCAGCTAAGTGGGATTATCATTATTATTATTCCAGATTTGAGAAAAATTTCTAGGTAAGAAAAAGCTATCTGTGCATGGGAATATAGTTGCAGTGCCGCTGTGTCCAGAGACTCCTTGTTCAGAAGGAGTGTGGGTGTTTTTCCATCTCAGGGTAGATATAGACATGACTCTCTCTGCTGCCAGTGCATTAACATGTCTTTGTGTCTGTCTTTTCATTTACATGTCCGTTTGTCCTAATTTTCGAAGTAGTAACTAATATGTGCTGTGTTCATGTAAGGGATGGCTCCCAAGCTCATGAATTTATTTCTACAAGTGAATACACTCAGAGTATTATTATTTTTAACAAAGCCTCCTTTGAAGTCTTACTTGAAATTACTTCTGTTGCTGTGCTACCTCTACTGTTATGTGTTCAAGCCTTGAACTGTCAAGGAATTATGAGGTATTTTTATCCTGTGACATTTTAAATTACTCTCTCCATAGGGGAAGCCTGTGGGAACGCCAGATGCTGGTGCCTATTTCCGTGTGCTAGCAGAGCATGAAGTAGCTGCCTTCTTTACTTCACCAACTGCAATTAGAGCAATCCGTCAGCAGGACCCTGAGGCAGCCTTGGGAAAGCAGTACTTGCTGAAAAGGTGAAGTAAGGATACACTGCAAGCAGTTTTTTCCAGAAACAGGCTGCATGAACTAAGAATAACAGAGTATCTGGGGTTTTGCCCACCTCTGTAGAGAGCCATTTTAATCTATTCTTGAAAATTTAGATGTACACATATTTGCTTGTAAATTTTTACTGATAGTTTTGAGGAGATGAAAGCTGTCAAAAAGTCTATGACTCTTAATGTTAAGAGCTTTTATTGAGTTAGGATTCCTCTCCCATCTTTTACTTTACTCCCCTGTGCTTATACTCTGTTATACAGCCTTGGATTATGTCATCCCATACTGTTTTTCTTCATGACCTCTCATTTTGTCAAGATCTTTAGTATTTGTTTAATCAGAAGCTAGTCAGTGTTTTGGTTGCTCTCCCAAAACTTCGTTATTGTTTATGATTATGTGTCCAAAGAGCTATTTGCTGTCTTATACTGCTTTTAAGGTGTTTAGCACTATACTGTCAGCATGCTTCAGAGTCTTGACTGAGCTCATTCTAATAAATCCCCTGTGAGGTGAGAAAGTAGTATTATCTGTATTTTGCAGATGGGAGGCTGAGGCACAGAGAGATTAAGGTCAAAGTCTTCTGTTAGTTTTGAATATCTAGTCTGAGCCACTGAAATGCCACTATTTTGAAAATCATGGTATTATATGGTTAAAACGTGGTATTAGCTTTATATTTATGAAATGCTTCTCACAGGAACTTAGATCTGTGAGTGTTTGATACTTCTGCAGACCAAGTTTCTGTATCTTATGCTAAACATTCTAAAAATGAAAAATACATGGGTTTGGACCACATCTAATCTTGAAGTTGAATGATTTGCCCAGCATCAAGCAGGGACTATGTCCAATTGTAGGCAGTATTCAGTCACAAGAACATCTATTATCACCCTTGTTCAAAGAGAAGGGGAAGATGCAAAGCCATGTAGCTTCATTAGACCTCCACATTCTTAATTGCTCTGGAAAGTTTATTATTAGTAAGCTGGATTTATTCCTGAGGTATTCATTACAAGCTTATCATTACTTTCTTCCATCTGTTTTGACTGCTATCATCAATCCTTACTCCTTCTTGAAGTAAGAAACAAGCTCATTTGGGATGTTTATTGACAAGAAAGTGATTCAGATGCTAGAAAATTTAATTGCTGTTCCTTGGCATTTCTTAGGCAATTACTTTGTCTTCAGAGTATTCATTTAATGGGCAATCTGCTAACCTGCTTTATAAGTTGTCACATTCTCTGGCCAAATGAGAATTCTAGATAAGAGTCTACTTGCACTATCAGTTGCCACAAATATAAAGACGTATTTCATCATTCTTATTCAGTCATATCAAATGAGCTTCTCCACTTGTCTGCAGCTTCAGCTGTGTCATAGTTCATTCAGCTTTGGATCATGTCATTCACTGGGATGTGATGTCTCCTTACTGAACCCTCTAATGTAGCATTTAATATCTAGTAGGTGCAGTTGTTAAGAAAGTCTATCAGGTGATTAAAATTTCCATTCTAGGAAAATACTTGGGTTTGGGTGTTACTTGGATAGACTTTTCTATTCAAGGTCAAGTGAATGCTGTCTGGTTCAGTTTGAAAGCAGTCTTAGTTCATTTGCTTGATCTATGATGCTTTCTTCTTTGTTACATGGTGAAGAATCTTTGAAATTTGTCTTTCTGCTATGTGCACTAAGATGGATCCTTACTTTAGAGACTGCATTCAGGGATGCAGTCCTGAAAGAGGCTTCCACCATAGCACATTTTGTTTCTGAAATGTTCTGTTAAATAAATGGTAAAGGTCAACTTTCAAAAAAAATCATGTTAAAAATGACAGTTACTGATAAAGAGGTGGTAGGCAATGCCAGCTTCCATACATAAGGGAGTATTTGATTTACATGAGTAAATTGAATTATAAACAAACTTGTGTTATTTTGAAATGACGTAAGGTAAATACATTTCTGTTAAGAATTGATGTTTTTGGCATCACTGGCCTCTGTACAAAATTATATATGAGGTTTCCAAAGGTTCTAGTATGTATGCTTTAAATTCCTTGCATTTATTGGAGCCAAATCTTGAAATTTTTTTGCTTTTGACGCAAAATTCCACCTATGTGTTAAACACACCTCATGCTTAACAGTAAAACAGATGTTTAGTTTTTAATACTGTAAGTCAAAAGCCCTGTTCAACCACATATTTATAGAGATCTAAAGACAGTTTTTGATAACATCCAGTGATGCTGAGCATTGCTGCCTTTTGTATTCGAAAAACAAGTAACATCCAAATTCCATGAGCTTTGTCTAACTAAGCATATTCTGTTCAGGTCTTTGAATCCATTCTCCTCTTCAGAAAGTAGCTCCATAATACCAAGACATTAACTCTTCCCATATTTGGAATCACACTTCATCCTATAATTGGCATAATGGTTGTGAGCTGGATTGTTCTAATTTCCAAACAATTGACAAGTGATGGTTTTGCATGGAATGAGGTAACAACTCAGCAGTTTAGATTAATGTACAAGTAATAATTTTCCATTTGTGTCCTGTAGTCTACTTTGCTTCCTTGACTTTTTGTCAGTTGAGAATGTTCTGCAATTTTATATCAAGAGCATTTAGAGATTCTAGGTTTTTCATCAGATACCAGATAATAATGTACTTTAGAAAGAAATATGACACTGCATAAAAACTGTACAGAAATAATGAATATAAAGTAGATAAGAAACTTCCATTATCTGTCTCATAATGCAGGAACAAGAGAATGTGAAATTAAAGTACCAAACTTAAAACTGTTAGAAGGAAATATTTTTTCACAGAATTGACATTTGACACATGCTGCTAAGAGGATATGTGATTAAGACCTAGAACTTATTACAATCAAAGTATGTAATGCTTATAATGTAATAGTTCTGGCTGCTGCCTGCTGCTCTGTGCTGCTGTTGATCATACATGGCCCTTCCTGGTGGAGACCTGAGCTGTGCTCATGAGGAGCCTTTGTGGAGCTGAGCTGCAATTGTGTTTTGTGTCTCTCGGGACTCTTGTCACCAGAACCTCCAATACTTGGATTCTCATATTCAAGGTAAAATCTGTTCAGGGAGGGAGATGAAAAAACACATCAAGGAAGAAAAGCCAGAAGATGTGAAAATACCTATTTTTAGAATTTTGCCTGTTTAATAAATAGAAAAACAACTATGTATATGTATGTGTATATGTATGTGTGTATGCAGTCTCCAGGTGCATTAAAAATTAGTAAGAATTCTTTATTTCCAGTTAAGAGGTAAAAATGAACCTTCATTGCTGTATTTTTAGGAAAAAAAGTCTTATTTAATATCATGCAGATAGAATTTTTCTTTGCCAGAAACCATTTCCCCCTCCTTTCAAACTGGTGTGTGCATTCCAGAATTTAAAAAATAAAAAAATTCTTCCACAGTCTTTAAACTGGAAAAGTGAAGCTCAGATTATAACCCATATGAACATTTAAGCTATTGGGAAATAGATTGGAGGTGTGTTTACTTCTGTGCTTGGAGTGGCACCAAAATGTATGTGCTGTGATGAACGATACTGCTTTGGGAACATTAGGAATGTTCATCTGTCCCCTGTATGTCAGGTGATATTTGAGGTCCGTTCTGCTGGTTTCCTGAATAGGGCATAAAAGCTTGATTGTGCTGAATTTCATTTTAGGAATGCAGATTTTCAGAACAGCTGAGGACATTTATTTAACAGAGAGGCTTTAAGACATTTCTTCTCAACTAACTGCATTGCAGGAATAGATGATTGCAATAATAGGTGACATGCTTTGAAGTTCTACGTGGTCTTTTAAAAAAAATTGTTCACTGGGACATTTCATAGCCATTGCCATCCCTTGATTTGCTATACTGTTTGAGAGGAGAAAATAATTCCATAGTTTGTAGACTTGTGGCACTTTGTTCTGACACTCTTTTTTGTGGTTTTGTGCTGTAAGTTTGCCAAAGAGCTAATTTTTCTTCTTAAAACATAAAGTTGATCTTGAGCCTGCAGATTGTTAAATCTGATTATTAAAGCTGGCAATTCAAAAGAGAGGATTTTTGCTTTTGGCTCAGGGGATAACAAGATAACTTTTCCCTATGTCTTATATGTTCTTGGTGTTAGTCTATTTTGATTTTTGGATTTCATTCCTATGGAAAGATGAAGTTCGTAGTCTTTCTAAATTACATCCCTCTGAAGTGCCTACCATATCTATGAATTCTCTCCTTTTGTGGCCACAAGCCTGCTGGATTTTACAAAATCAGTTCAGTTTGTGTCCACTTTTGAAGGACAAGTGTGAAGTCCTGTGTTCAGCAGTTGTTTTCATTTAAAATGCAGTTAAAGTGAAACAAAATGTCGATGACATGCATCTGGATGTGAGATACTGTACTGCAGTGCCAATGAAGATACCTACCTAATTAGTTACTGTGTACAGAGGATTTAATTATTTTTTACTTTGGCTGACAGTTGCTTGCCTCTGGTCTCCCAAGGTGTTTGCATTCAGCAAATGAAATTTCTTTTACATGATGTAGTATTAAGTTGCTTAAATTAATATTGCAAATATTCTAGTTTTTACTTAGTAGGGAAGAGAGTACAAAAATTTTGTCTTTTCCCTTGATCTGGGACAGTGGTCAGAGACATTTAATGTATTGATTGTCTTGTTTTCCTTTCCACATCCAGATCAGGATACAGACTTTATTTTTATTTAAAGGTTCAGAACGATGTTTGTAGCTGGTGAGCACTGTGATGTGGACACGCTAGAATGGTCAAAAAGAATCTTCAAGGTACCTGTCCTGGACCACTGGTGGCAAACTGGTGAGTTTAATAATATCCTGGAGGGTTAAAATATCCTTTGTAAAATACAGTGAGAAGACTATTTTCAGACTTGTTTCCTGAGTCTGAAGGTAAAATTGTTTTCTCTTTCCAGGAACATTTAAATAAATGTTAAAAAAAAAAAAATTCAAGCAGGAAGAATGTTTTTTGAAAGTGGTTGAAAAGTGACTTCAGGGTATTTATAGAATAACAAGACATTTGTAAAAGCTATATAAAAAAGAAGGTATTTTCTGGTATCTGTGTTTTTTAAAAAAGTTTGTATCAGTATTTTTTGAGGTGTGTTTTTATGTTGTTTGCATGTGTGACTGTTGTGTAACAGAATGTTTGCTATTTAAGGCTTAAACCTAAGTTTTTTGCATATATAATTTGTGTAATTAAAAACAAACAATCTGTTGCATAGAGTAGACTCCTTGGTCTTTAATACTGTTCTGTATGGATGTCATCCAATTTGCAGTGATTATTTTAGAGTGTTTCCCATTTACTTCACTGCAGTGAAGGAATCAGAGTACCAATCTATCGGTAACTTCTCAAAAATCCTAGTTGAATCCTGAATCAAGGCTTGATAAAATATATCTCCTTATAACTGTGGATTCATATACCTTTAAATTTCACTATTAGAAGATTAAATTTGGATTTTGCTTTTTATACAAATTATTGCTAATTAAACAATGGAAATGTATTACAGAAGCTCCCTCCTTTCTTCCTTTCTTTGCTCCCTTCCAAGAAATAACTCTTGTGTTTGCTGTGTTTAATTGATTTGAGATGTGTGGTCTCTTTCTCTATAAAGAAAAACCCTCTGAGGTTCTCCCATGATAGATCAAATAGAAGCTATAGAAGATTAGAATGAAAGTGAGAAACTGTTTAGTTCATCTATATATTATGCAATTAAATCAGTTGAGGAGGCTTAAAATGGATTGTTTTTATTAAAAAAAAAACCCAGAACACAATCTTAGATAAATACTGAAAAAGTTCTGGCAGATAGTAGTGTCATTTTTTATTTATTTTTATTTATTATTTTATTTATCTGTATTTACTTAATTACAAGGCAAAATACCTCTATTTTGTTCACTCTATGATCCTAATGTCTGTAGACTGGCCTGAACAATGCAGAATGAGAAATTAAATGAAGAAAGCTAAAAGATCAGATAATATCTTTGATGAATTGCTGAACTGTATAATCAGTTACTGTATGTAATCTTGCATGTGCTTTCTCTATCTGTGCAGATATATAGATATATATATATTACATATAAAACTGCCATAGCTTTTGCATATGTTTAGTGTAAGTTTCATGTTACAGTGTTCTTTTGTATGTATCTCAAGTATATAAATATCAATGAGAGATCCTAAGCATATGGATATAATGGAAGTTGCACTGTGTAGAGCTAAGACTGTTTTAGACATTTTTCAAAGAAGACTGAGACTCAGCTCAGAGTACAGTTTGTTTCTTGATTTGTATATTCATGGCATGCTCTTAAATTAAATTGTACCGTGACTTAATGAACTAAAGCCATTTCAAAGACATTGTTTGAGAGCATTTAATAATTTGATCGGAGTGAAGACCCAAGTGATTTGTGTGGAAATGTGAGCTGTTGAATGAAAGCTAGGCCTTCAGACTGAAGGAAAGAATTTACTCAGTCAATTCTTACCAAAGAACTGAATTTCAAGGGGTAAGGAGGTAATCACAGAGCCAATAGGTTGATGAGGACCTCCTCAGCTCATTTAGTTCAGTCCCCTTTCTCAAGCAGGGTCAGAGAGAGTGTTGCCCAGGATCCTGTCCAGTTTTGAGTATCTGTGGATAGGAATTCTCTGGCCACACTGGCCAGCCTATGCCTTGACTGTCCTCACAGTAAACACATATTTTTTTGGGCTCAGATGTAACATTCTGGTTTTAGTTTGTGTCTGTTGCCTCTTGTTCTGTCAGCGGGCACCACTGAGAATTCTGGCTAACACTTCTTCAATGTGTGTAATTAGTGGATGCCTCCCAAGAAGGCCTACAGGGTTTCCTTCTGTGAGAAGCTACAAGAAGCTTCCTTCATGTCCTTCATGGAGCCAATCCCTGACAGCTCCAAAGATGGATGTGCTGCTGATCAAGGCTGGGCCAATTAGAAGTGGTGGTAACATGGTAATATGTGATAACATATTCAAAAATTTAAAAAAATAAAAAGTTATTGCATAGTAGTAATTGCATCCAGAGAAGAGCAGTGTGAGAACATGCGAGAGAAACAACTCTGCAGACACCAAGGTCAGTGGAGAAGGAGGAGCAGGAGTTGAGATTCTTCTGCAGCCAGTGGTGCAGCCCATGGGGAAGCAGCTGCCTCCTGCAGCCCATGAAGGAGATCCATGCCAGAGCAAGTGAATGCCTGAGAGGAAGTTTTGACCCTGTGAGAGATGCTGGATCAGGCTCCTGGCAGGGATCTGTAGATCCATGGAGAGAGGAGCCAATGCTGGAGCAGGTTTCCTGGCAGAACTTGCTAGTAGGGCCCTTTCCAGCAGCTCTTTGTCTTTCTTGAACAGTGGAGAATTGAACACAAGACTCCAGACGTGGCCTCACTAGGGCTGAGCAGAGGGGAAAGATCACCTCACTCAACCTTCTGGTCACATTCTTCCCTATGCACCCTAGGTTGCCACTGGCCCTCCTGGCCATAAGGGCATTGTGAGCTTATGGTCACCTTGTCATTCACCAGGACTCCCAGGTCCTGGAGCACAGTAGCCATTGTCACAGGTGAAAGCAGTCTTCCTTTCTGTCCTTCACTTACCTCTTTAGCAGAATTCAAGATGTATCCCATTAACTGTGAAAAAACAAGCTGTTCTCTCACATTCATCCTTGTCTGTTACTTGTCAAAATATTGAAAGTGGATTTCTGGGCTGGAAAAGGCCATTTCAACCAAACAGTATTGGGTTTCAGTACATGAGGTTAAAGGTGTATGTACTGAATGTGAAATATTTTACAGAGTAGATAAGTGGCTGTTTACTTCATTAGAAATATGCAGGGTTAGCAACTGATGACAGAATAAGGACCCACAGATTCAGAAATAACAATTTTCTGAACTATCTCAAAATAAAAATGTGGCATACTAGAAACACAACAAAATAATCACTTCTGTCAGGAGGAAGTTGAGACTGTGTTATGTAGAAGTAGGAAGTATTTAAAATGCATCTTTATTATAACAAAATTTTTTTTTTTTGCTGTTTAATTGAAGCTGAAGTTATAAATTGCTGTTTTGTTATACCTCAGATTGAAAGTTTCTGTCTTACTTCTACAAATGAAAATGCTTTTGACCTTTGCTAGTCTGACAAATTGGTAATTATTCCCTAAGCTGATATTTATCTGCATTCTTTCAAAACAAGAGCATTGCAAAACTCAGAAATTTTGGCATCTTAATTTTGCCTGAAAACTGTAGATCTTACTTAGGCAGTTATGTTGGTTCTTTCAGCTGAAGCTAAAGCAGAAGATGGACGAGGAGGAGAAGTATCTGGGTAGTAAATACTGTTTTTTGCATAATGGAGTAATTTCTGTTCCTTTGTTAATGACTGAGGAAGGTAAGGAAAAAATGAGTGTTGTAGAGATGAGAAGTGACCAAGTCATCATTTGGAGATGGAAATGAGTATGAGTTAAGGGAAACAAAAGGCTGATAAAAGTATTATAAAATAGGAGTGTTAACCACTTCCTTCTTCAGGTTTTAGTAAGATGTCTTCAAAGCTTGTGGCCCCTTTGCCATATATATAACTAGAAATAAATTAGTATAGACAAAGAAACGTGGATTTCTTTCATTTGTTCTTGAAATATTTATGGGCTGTATTTGAAATCACTGTGAATTGAAACAGTACTTTGAAACAGAGGAAAGCTTCCATTAAGGGACTTCAAAACAGCTGCACCTGGAAAAGCTGATTGCTTGAAACTGATTTGTGTCAGTACACTTTATCATTAACACTCATTTTAAATGTTAATGTTTGTGTTACAAATACTGTAAGCACATCTTACAAACTGTGAAATATAAGTCACAGGATCGATGAGCGGCAGGGAGGATTTCAGGCAGTAAGGACTGGGAAGAACTTGCTGTTTTCTTTGGATATTTGTCTGTGGATGAAAGAATGTTATTTTCTGATCCTCTGATCCTGTACTCAGCCATACCTGGAGAGAGGAGAGTTTTGTTTGGGTTTGTGCAGGTGTTAAGTTTTTGCTTATTTATACAAATTGACACTTAGCACTTCAGTAGCAATTTCTATCTTCAAAGTTGTTCTCCAAACACAAGCAATTAATACTTTTGACACCCCTGTGAAGTAAATACAGTTATTCCAGTCTCTATTAAATAAAGACAAATATCCTGCCCCAAGCTTTCCACTAAGCCTTAAATTCAGTGTTAGAATACAGATTATGTTTTTTTTTTTTTTCTGAGAGATAATTTTTCTAGTCTTATTTAAATATGTTTTGTAATATTTTTTGTGAATGAGAACTGGAATGCATGTTTTGAACCTTGTTTTCTCTCTCTCTGTATAGTTATGTTTTAAGGCAATGATACAGTTGCTCTGTTTTAGTATTCCACGTAATTAAATTACAAGGAACCTTGCCATATTTATTTGAAGTAGCCTAAAGTGTTTGGGTTCTATCTGCTGTGTGACTACACTCATTCTAAGGGAGGGGCCTGAGTAGACAAAGATATGTAAGTTTGGTTTACCTTGATTTTGGAGCTAGCTTTGAGTTCTAGAAAAAAAAGGGAAAGAGCCAGGAGGTTGTGATGAGCTGTGGAAGCAGAAGGCTCTGAAAGTTTGTGTTAAACATCTTCAGCTGCTTTCATGTAGCTAAAAAATGAAACTGCCACATCACTTTTGACATTTTGAGAAAATGGTAAGTCAGATTTCCATTTGTTCATAATAACTATAGGATTTGAAGAGTTTTTTTCTCTTGATATTTTGAGACATTTTGAGACTCTGAGGATGTATAGGAAAATTCAGATGAAACAGAACTGAAGCTGAAAATT